TAAATGAATAAATTAGAAAAAAGAGAAAGGGCAAATGTCAACATTTTAGGAAACAGGGAAAGTGAGAGAAGAGGCTATGCAATCCTCTTTGGATGCTGGTTCATGGTGGTGGGGAAATGAATCTAAAAAAAAACCCAGGATGACAAGCAGGGTCAGGTGCACATGTCATCCGAACTGAGGCTCCTAAGACTGTGGTCTGCCACACCCAGAACTGCCACTTACTTCAGGTCTATCCTGCAGATGTGGGTCAGTCTCGACTTGCCAGATCCACATGGTTCTATCAAGTACTGAGAATCCATCACCACTGCCCGCACGCCACCCATGAGCTGGGCTTCTTCATGCTCCACAGAGAGGGACACCAGGGTGCACATTCCTTTGGGTAAATCCGTCTTCCAGGTCCTGGAGCAAAACAAGCTATGCATCAGAGTCATGGCATGAGAGAAAGAAAATCCTGAAAGATAAAGTTTATGCTTATATCTTCCTGCCAAAAACCTGGGCTCTAGTTCTAATGTTAGTTACTTGGATTAAGCTAATGGTTTCCATTAGCTTGTACACAGTTTATACAACGCAGCCCAAAGGAAGGATCTCAGCTTTTGGATTCAGAGGGTAGAAATGGCCCTGTAGCTCCCAGACCTGCATATGGAACCTCCATCTGAGGCCCCATCCTGGTCTGCTGAAGAAGCTCCTGCTGGCTATTGAGGAGGTTACAGTTTAGGGATCAGCACTTATTCACTGAATTTTTCCATTTATCTGTTGAGCACATCCATGTGCTGGGCATGAGAAGCCATAAACAACGTGAAGATGCACAGAGCCCAGAAAGGGAGACTGGCAACTCTAAGAACTTTGGAAAACACTGGTAAGTGCAGGGTGGTAACTGTGCACAGAGAGATGGAATCGGAAGAGGGGACAGAACAGGAATACAGGGACATATCCCTGCAGGAAGAGATTCAAGCCTTAGCAAATAATCTACTGATGCCTGATTTGAAAGAAATGAAACCTATGTGGACCTGTTCACTTTGTTCTGATACCCGAGTGGCTGTTGAATAGGAGAAGAAATAAACACAGTTGATTTGAGTTCAGATGGAGAGGGAGGAGGACATTTCAGCTGAGTATGGAAAGAGCTAACTGGGTACAGCATCCAGAGATGAAATGGGCCCCCATTGTAGATGCGGTCAGAAAATGTGGGAACATCAGGCTGACCACCCCCAGCTTCCCTTCCAGCACAGGGACCTGTGATAACAGAAGGTATTGTCCCTAGCATTTGCTTCACAAATTCTATTTCCAGGCTTAGTGGTCTCATCAGTGACTCTGCCCGAGCATCCCAATACATCAGGAAGAGAAAACACTACATATGTATGATGCTATGGCTGAATGTGCTCCCAAAATTTCACGTGTTGGGATCTTAGTCTCCCATGTAGCCATACTGAGAGATGAGACCTTTGGGAGTAATTGTGCCATGAGTATGAAGTCCTCGTAAACAGATTAATCTACTCATGAGTTAACTGGCTAATAAATTACTGAGTTACTGAAGGAGTAGCCCTGCCATGGAAGCAGCTTTCTTTGATAAGCTCACTTGACTCCCTGTGCAATGTCCTTCACCATGCTGTGACCTGGTAGGAAAGGCCTCGTCAGGTACTGAGCAGATGTCTCTGCCACAGTCCCGGGCTTCTCCGCCTTCAGCATCATGAGCCAAATACACACCTAGTCTTTATATAAATATTTCAGATATTTCATTACAAACGGAAGAAAACAAACTAAAATCCTTGAGGAGAAGTTGAGGATAACCAGATGTGCTGTGTCAGACAGAATGCATCTCAACCTGGAGCTTCTCATCACCCCTGTCACTTTTCTCCTTTTTGAATCAAACGTAAGGAATTTCTGTGGACACGAACCATGTCTGGTGGCTTGTTAGTCCTTTCAGTGTCAAGTTCTCCCTCAGTGCTTTGCAGTCCACTCCCTTCTCTTTTAAGCCTTTTTCCTTTATCTCCTTTTCTTGTTATTTATTGACTGTATCTCCACAGTAAGATATAAACTGAGACTGGGGAGACCGCTTAGTCAGTAAAGTGTTTGGTGTACAAACATGCTAAGACCTGAGTTCGATCCCTAGCACTCACTTAAAAAACCAGGCATGACGGCTTACACTTGGAATCCCAGCCTTAGGAGGTGGTTGGTGGAAACAGGTGGATCCCTGAGGCTTGCTGGCCAGTCAGCGTAGCCTACTTACTGAGCCCTAGGTCCCAGTGAGAGACTGTTTAAAAAAAATAAAAATAAAAGAAGTAAATGGGTCTTAAAGAATGACACCCAAGATGGATCTCTGGCCTCCACACACATTCATCCATGTACACCCCCCACACAAATACATATGCATGCACAGAAACATACAATCACAAATACAAACCCTGAGAGACTAAGATGTGTTCACCTAGGGCACCTGCAGAGAGTGAAGCAGTGATTGGCATATGGTGTAATGGAATGATGCACTAATAACTAGCAGGCTGGAGGGACCATTGTATGGACTGGACGAAGGAAGCTCCTTGTGGGGACTTGTTCTCAATTTCCTCTAGTGGGAAAGAAAAGGCCACTGTGGCTGGGTACATCTCCACAGCTGCTATCCTGGACAATAACTTGGTTATTGTCTGTGTTCTGCTTGTGAGACTGAGGATTAAAATTTAATGTCCCAAGATAAGAAATGTTCTAATAAGTGTGGTGATAGGCCACCCTTGTATAATTGCCTACGTTCCCTACCAGGATAAGGTTGCTGGGATGCACACAAATATTTAGAAAAAATGGACACTTAAAAGTGAAGGTCCCAAGGATCAAAACCAAAGACAGAAAGGACCCAAGCGCAAAGTCACCTTCAGTTTGCCATCAGAACTAGTTTCATAAAGCCACTACTTTAAATATACATTTGGGAACTTCATCAGTGAATCCTTTTACACTGTTGATCTATGAAGAGGCTGTGTTTACTTGTGTTTTCAATAAAAAGGATATATTGTTCTAATTACATTTCATTCATGTTCTTAACTGTCCCCAATCCCTGTTCCTACTGATGAAATACTGCATTTCTACTGTGTAAACTTCCTGTTGCTGGCTGAGCATCGCATTCCAAGGCCAGAAAACAGGGGTCTGGAACTAACCCATAAATCAATCAGAAACAATATTCCAAAGGCAGATGCGGGGCTCAGAAAGCATTTCCAGGTTTGGAATCTGATTGCATGTCCAGTGTTTCAGCTGAGCTAGAATTTCCATGCCTGGTAATTAGTTGTGAACATATGAAGTTCACACACAGCCCCACCTTTGAGTTCCACAAGATGAGGACTTGCTTTCCCCAGGGAGAAAGACAAAACCAGGAGAAAAGCCAGTCAAGTCAGATTTGATTTGCATAATTTGGCAGAAAGTTCCTCTGGACAAGCAGCAGCTATTCTGGGGCCTCTGCTCTGAGAAAATGAACGATATTTATGGCCCAATAAACTGTGTGCTCCACAAGGAGAGGGGCCACAGAGAGCCTGCGTAGGGCTGTAGTTTGGGTGAAGAAGGAAGTCAGGCATAAATACGGCAAAGTCAGGTTTCCCTGGGAGAAATGGGAGCCAGCTGAGAGCTCCCTTAAGATGCTGGATTTAGGGGGCAGAACCCTGAGAAGTGCTTAAATCTGCAGCGCTCATTTTGCTTTTGGAACAGGACCTCATAAACCAGGGAGGAGGGCTTACCTGAGAACCACGAAGTCTCTGGAAGGATGCGGAGCCATGCTGTTCAGCACGTACTGGTAAACTTCTGTTTGCCTGTCCAACGTTTCCACAACTTTCCATTGCAGAAAGTCCTCATCCCATAGGTGACGTTCTCTCAGTACACGATTCAACACCACAGAGGGTGGTGCCTCTACCTCCACAGAAGCCTTCCACAGCTTCAGTGGGTTCCCATCCCCCACCTTCAGAAAGACAAGAGCAGGAGCTGAAGTGGTCACCAGAATCCACCAAAACCTACCCTACAGAACTAGGCATTCAAAAATCATTACTGGTTATTTAAAGTGAATTAGTGATGTACCTCAGGATTAAAATGTAATATTTTAATCCTTAATCTGAAGAGGAGAAGAATGATGATCAAAACAACCATGGACACATATGTAGTGTGTGCCAGACATGGTTCTAACACATCTGACTTTGACATAGTTCTGCTCTGACTGAGGTACTCTCAGAATGCTCATTTTGTAGATGAAAGATGTTGGACACTGATCTGCCCGGCATCACACAATGAAGGGCACAAGCCTGGGATCCAGAAGCCCTGCTGCATGATCTGAGCTCTGATTTCATGTGACAGTGCCTATTGGTGGTCTTTGAACAGGGTCTTTGAATGGTACATGGGCCTTTATTGTTCATGCATGCACCAAAGTCTGTGGATAATCAGATATTTCGTAGCAAAAGCCCAACTTTGGTTGTTAGATGTGGGTTTTGTGAGATTACCTTTTTGAAAGCAAGGTCTGTGTTGTCAGGGCTGGAACACGTGACCCATCCTTTAAATTTCTCCTTGGCTTCTTTCTGGAGGCCCTGGACAAGATGGTCCAGGTATGTGTGGAAAGTTGCCCCGCTCTCTGCCAGTTGTGCTCCCAAGTCTTCCAGAGTTGGTGCATGGATTTCAGCCTCTGCGTAGGAGTTACGAGACTGGGCCACCATCTCATGTGGAACCTGAGCCAATAAATGCATGAAAGAAATATGTAAGCTAAAAAAATGCTGTAACGTGAACAAAGGAAGCAAAGTCATTCCATCAACAATCAAGGTCTGAGCAATGGGCTGAGGACAATGGGGCTGCAAATGTTTTGCTAAGACCAGTTCCAAGGTTGGGACCTTCCTGATGCTAAGAAATACTAATAAGTTTCTGAGCCTATATTAATTAATCAAAACATTGAAATGTCTTTCTAATCATTCTCTCCATTTTCCTTTTTAATTTATTTTTACTCAATTTGACAAGTGTGGGCTCAGAGAACTTCTGTCATTATGATTAGACTTCATGCACTTTGACTTCTTAAGGGAAACTTTAATATGACTTAGAAATGGCTTGACCTTTTAAGTACATTTTTCCCATTGACAAATGCCAATTTTGTCCCAGAGAGTATGCCAGATGTCTCATTCACTTACTCTTTAACATATTTATGGCTATACTCATAAGTTGTCATTGATTCTTAGTGATAAGGATTACTCAGTCACAGAGAGAGAGAGAGGGAGAGAGGGAGACAGAGAGAGAGAGAGAGAGAGAGAGAGAGAGAGAGAGAGAGAGAGAGAGAGAACCTAATTAAGTCTTGAGGTAAAATCAAATGTAACATAGTTGGCCAACTGGTCTTGAACCTGACAAAGGAAGGTGATACAACTGTATGAAAGCTGCTATCATTGTGACCCCAACTGTCTTTAACTATCAAAGCCTCGATTGTACATCTAGCTCTTCATAACTCTTGGAGGCAAAGACCAGAGCTACAGTACACACTATCGCCATCATAAAATCAGGAACAAACAGATACAAATTGTAAATACAGCACCAGTTCCAAACCTCTCATCTAGTTCCAAGAGCTATAAGGAAGGCAGGAGGAGCCTTCTGCTCACCTCAAAAAGTCTGTTGCATTCCATGATCATGTGGGCAAGCCCCTGGGCTGCGGCTAGATTCTCATTGAGGTCCTTTTGATCTGGCTTCCCAGTGGCATATTTCTTCTGGATGACTCTGTAATTGAATGTGAATGTGCTAAGCAGATCCCAGTCCAAGGAGCAGGCCATGCTACCCAGTTCATCCCCTCTGTTTGCTGCTCACCCCCAGATGCTATCTGGATCCCAGACTCTCATTTCCAAATAAAAACAATGACTACACATCTTAGATATTCCAAGGCAGGCTGGCAGTCTGACAGCTCATAACCAAAAACCTTGGAAAAATACAAGGACAGGAGGAGCTGTAGGCAGAGAAATTACTTTTTTCCCCTACATTTGAAAGTGCTCGACTGCCAGGTCCCATGCTTTGGTTGTAAATACAGCCTTTTAAATCCAAGACTATAAAATACTTCTTTGTACATTTTCCCTTTCTTTCTCACTCAAATGAAACAAAACAAAATTCCTTAGGCTTTCTGTATCACAACTGAGGTCCTTCAGTACTATCTTGGAAGCTATGAACATGAGCTCATGAATGAGGCTGCCTCATTCTGATCCTACAATGAGCCCCGATAAACCCTCCATCTGAAATCTAGTGTGAGAACAACTTTGTTCATTTTTCATAAAAGAAGGAAAACAAAACCAAAGAACCTTGGCGGGGGAGGGTCTTGGTTCAGGAATTACTGCTATTGACAGGGAAAACTTACCTTGGGGAGCTTTCTTTCTTCAGTAAATTAAGATGAAAAAGGGACGGGGCCAGACACACGGCCAGATTCATGGCTGTCATCTGATTCTCTTCCACTGAGTTAACAACATCATTGAGGAAGCACAGGAGTGTCTGCAGGGCCTCCCTGTTTTCATCTGCCAGCAGGAGTATGGCAGCCTGTATGGCCTGGAGCCTCTGTTCTTTGGGGACATCTGAAGAAAAGTGAGAGCCAGGTTGTTAGAGGGACAGGCAACACAGAGTGGGCTGGGAAGGGTGCACAAGCGCTACTTCCTGATGGAGAGACACTCAGAGACATCAACAGTACTAACCCAAGAAGTCATCATGACAGGTAGAGCTGGAATTGGAACCTCATCTATTAAACTCAAGAACCTGAAGTCTGAGTGTCCCAGAGGTACTAAGATCAAAGCCCCACTCTGGCTTCTCACAGTCCCAGCATCAGCTGGGTCTTTGGTCTTCAGATCGTCTTTCTGTTTTGGTAGAAGTTGGTGATGGATTGGGTGATGGACTTGTCAACCTAGCTTCTCTATTGTCTACCTTCCTTGCCAGACAGCTTGGGAAGTACCTTACAGGGTGGCTGAGGCTGGGCAGTACACGGTTTTGAAAGTCACTGGGTAAAAGGACAGTGGCCTGTCCACAGTGGAGCACCCAGGCCATTGTGCCAGCATGGCATAATGAACCACAAGTAGTGGGGGAGCTGGCTGCCTTTGGCCATCCCAGAGAGCCAGTGCCTCAGTGGAAAGCCTGGCAGATCCTTCATGTTCCTGTAAGTCACCAGGGCTCATTTGGAGATTGTGCTGGCTTGACTTTGAGTGGAGATTCAATGTCACCTATTTCATGATTTTAGAATCATGGACTTTGAGCTGTTCAGAGAGAAGAGGAACCAGGTTCCCTACAGCTATGGGGGGTGAATTGTCCTACTCAGTCTCAGTCTCCCTGATGGTGCTCCTTGTGGTGGTGGTGGGATGGTGGGTATTGAGTAAAGAGGCTTAGGAGGGAAATGAATAAAAAAATATGAAATGGAAAATGGAAAAATCATTCAAATTGGGAATGAGGTGCTGTACTTTGCTGCCCTTCTTGCTGTGTTTGTTTCATAATCATTTAGGTTTAGTTCGCAGATATAGACAGAATGCAGACAGGATAACCAGTTAACATGGTTATCCTTCTTAAAAAGTCACATTCTGGAGTGGAGGTCTCCATAGTAGTCCTGAGGAGTAGGGAGTGTGTTCATGACAATCCCTTCAGGTGTGGGAAGAAATACAATTTTCAGTTGTGTTTATGCTTTATCTCAGTTAAAAATATGCGTACAGTCAGGTGTGGTAATACACACCTTTAATCCCAGCACTTGAAAGGCAGAGGCAAGTGGATTTCTGTGAGTTCGAGGCTAGCCTGGTCTACATAGTGAGTTCTAGGCCAGCTAGGGCTACAGGGAGATCCTATCTCAAACAAAAAATAAGCATACATACATAAAGACTGATTGTGTTTTATAATGTACGCACTCTCTCACAGTTTATCACCGTGTATTATATTTATTAAAAAAATAAAAGTAGACACTCAGACATTTACTATTGGTAGAGGTGCCTGATATGAAAGAGCTGGCACTTGCTGCTCTAGAGGAGCTTGGGTTCCGGATAGCCACAGACAGACATCCTGTGGGCTGTCTGTGCTTGACTCTCCTGGCTCTCTCCAGCCCTATGTAGGAGAAACTACATTCCAGGGATGGTATGTTCCTGGCCTTGGATGGCCAGTAAATCCAAATTTCTGGAAAAGTGTGACCCCACGTTTGGTATTCATCCTATCTGTTCCGTATTGGCAAAGGGTATGACTGCTTTCTAGAGAAGAGTCATTTTGTTGGAATGAATGACAGCAAAACTGTTCTTTTTTCTTGCTTCTGCTGATAGATATTACTAGTGATTTCAAGCTTGGAAGCAGTATTATACATTCACCTTACACCACTGAGCTGCTTTTAAATGCTGCTATATAGGTAAGATGTCTCCTGTGTTTAAATATTATCTAACCTTAGCTAGCCAAACTTTTCTTCTATTCCAGCTTTTGTCTCTACGTCATTATTATTACTATTACTATTATTATTATTATTTTTGTCTTGTTTTGTTTTTTTCTGAGACAGGGTCTCCTTGTAGCCTCAACTGGTCTGGAACTTACTATGTAGTACACATTCACCTGCCTCTGCCTTCTGAATGCACCACCATGTCCAGTGCATGTCGTTATTTTTGAGGAGTCGTTTGCCACGTGCCTTTGTTTAGCTCAATATCTTTTCTGTTCACTTGTTCCTTGATCTTTTGGAAATACATTCATTTTGGATCCTATCACCTTTGACCTTTCTGTTACACATGACATGGCCGTAGTTCCCGCCTCTTTCTTGGTTCTTGGGAGATAATTTTAGATCTGCTTTGGTAAGTACTTAGAATTTATGAGGACGTGGATGACAATCAAGCTGTCACACTCAGGATACTGTCCTTACTGAACACCTTGTCTCTCTGCTCCCAAATCAGCTTCACTTCTCCTTTTTCCTTCCCCTTCTCCCTGTCATGAAGCTTTAAAACCTTTGTCTTTGACCCCTCACCCTCTTCTCTTTTATAGACTGGTAGGATTAAGGCCTTCTCACAGCTGCCCCACACTCTACTCATGTGACAGTAGCAAAGGAAAAACACAGTGGAAAACAGAACTACTTTGGAGAACTGGGAGGATGACTGAACCCCCATACTAGTTTGAACACTTGGTACTTGTCCTGCCAGAACCCCAGTAGTGTGCCAGCTCCCTAGACTTCCACTGTTGTCTACTTGATCCCTCTTATACACCAGATCCAGATTTGTAGATCCAAAAATGAGTTCTGATGACTCTGATGACCTGGGCGAGCACAAGGTTAGCAGCCTGGTGACCCACTCCTCCTTTCCTCTTCATTAATGCCTTTAATCCCAGCCTTGGCAGGCACAGGTGCATCTCTGTGAGACTGAGGTTAGTCTGCTCTATATTCCTTTTGTACTCAGGGAAATGGGCTCCTCTCATCAATCCAGGGATGAACTACGTTGACTTAAACCAAAATGGGCCATTCCTTTTCTCTTTCCTCTTTCTGGTTTGAGGGCAAAGATGCGGAACATTTTTGGCTAATGAGACCGGTAACAATGCTGGAAGCTTCTGCAAGATCTATCTCTTTGATAAAAAGAGACGAGTGTCCAAAGAGAAGCTTTGGCTCTCCTTGCTCTTGAGTGCGACTTGGTGAAGATGTGATTATTGCTTTGACCATGTTGTGACTTTAAGGGGAAAGAGACTAGAGGCCGATGTCCTGGCATCCCTGAGCTGCAGATTTTTCCAACAGTGGGATGGTTTCATTTTGAAAGGTTCTTTAATTCTTACCAGATCTAGTATGAACCCCTTGTCCTAATTTTAAAATGCCTCTTCTTATGTAATCCTGATCTACTTTATCAGAGTCAGCTGGTGTAGTGTTGTACACTTTGCACCCACGCAGGACAAAGACCATGCACTCCTTCGACACATGCTCCTGCAACTACCTTCACCCAAAATGTGCTTCTTCCAAATTTCAACCTTCAGCTGTCACTTTTCCTACCAACTTCCCACTGCTCATCCCCACCTTCTGGATCTGTCTCTGTGACCTTTCTACAGAACTTCTCTAACCTCCTTGTGTTGCAGGGATTTATGTTCAGGTCTTGTCTCCCTCAGTTGTAAGATCCTTAAGTACAGACAGTGAGTGTCACAGAATCATAACCTCTGAAGTGTTCAGCATGGCCCTGCATAAGCCCTACTCTGTAAATGTTTGCTTAGATAAAATAAAGCCCTGCTTTGATCTGGCTTCTAGGTTTTAAGCCTACCCAGGAGGCACAGATATTTATCTCTTGGAAATAATCTAGATTTAGCCATAGAGAGTGTCAACTTCAACCCAAGAACTGATCGAATATAAATATTCTTACATGATCCTTCCAAACCATGAGGGAGGTTTAATTTAAAAAATGGAGTTGGAATCTCACAGCAACACTATAGTGAGCACCTTATGTTTGGACTCTAGTACCATGTGTCATTAATGTAACTTAACCTATTCACTTTGACAGAATAATATTTATTTAGTGTGTTACCATTTTATTCTGTTTTTATAAGTGGTACTTATTACAGTCCTTTCCAAATTTGTAATATTATACATGGTTTAAATCCATTTGGTACATTCTCTACAGCAGGATCCTCCTTCAGATTGGATCAATTCCATTTCAAGACCCACTTAAGGCATATTTTGATGTAAAATCAAAGTCTGTGGGCCAGATTTTTTCCCCTAAGAATTGACACTGATTGAATTCCCCTAAGAATTGGAACCAATTCATAATGATACCATTACCATATCTAGAAAAAACTTGTGTTTCTTTCTAGTATGGATCTTGAACCAATTGTTACTTTCAATGATTATTTCAACCATAGTGGCTTTGCTAAGCACTACTAATCACTTAGAATCTTCTAAATGAAAATATAAGGGACTGCAGAGATGGCTCAGGGGATAAGAGCACTTATTGCTCTTGCAGAAGACTTAGCTATGGCTCCCAGCACCCACATGTTTGCTCTCAATTCCAGTTCCAGGGGATCCGATGCCCTCTTCAGGCCTTCATGGGCATTGCATGCATGTGGTACACCTACATACATGTAGGTAAAATGCTCATACACATAAAATAGAAATAAATCTAAATGAAAATATAAATTTATTGCATTAAGGTGTAACTTTGATTTGATTTCCTATATTTCACCAATTAAAAGACTTTTTTGGTTTTTAGTCTTTCTAATACATTTTACTTTGAATTTATTATACCAAAGAGATTAAGTAAGGTTTAATGCTTATATACAAAGTAAATTCTATTATGCCCCATTTTCATTTCAAATTTATTAGAAATGTACTGAAAATTAGTTTGAGGTCTCACAGAAAAATTTACTGAGAAAGCATATTTTGATGTCGAAAATGTATATTCAGAATCAAAAACTGGCATGGAGATGTCCACAACAAACCAATCAAAGGCTGTTTCTGGAGAGGAGAAAAGGATCACGGCTTTTATGTACTTCTTTATAGACTCATGCATGACTTGCATAATGAGGAGTCCATGTTTTTGATGGTTGGATGCTCGTGAGAACATAGATCTGCATTATTGCCACTTACACTGATAGATATGGAGGAAGGTCTCGCTGAGCTTGTTGGTGAAAAGGGGCTCTGGGAGGTCCCGGAAGAACTGTTTCACCATGTCTGCCACATCATACGCAGATTGGTCTTCATAGTTCACATTCTCAGGAAAGTTCTCATTCATTTGACGTAGGGCATGGATTCGAGACTTCACCCCCGACTTGCGAAAAAGACCCACCTGAAATGAGTCACAGGGACACGTAAGCCAGGTCACCTTTCTCCTCACAACCTCTTCCTTAAGGCAGGAATCCTGGATCTGAATGACAAGAAGGCCTGGGGACAGGTCTGGATGAGCTGGAATTGTATCCTAACTTGGAAATTCTGAATTTCCAGTATAGTTACTTTAGGTAGCAGTCAAACATTGACTTTTTCTCCTATAAGGTAAAGATATGGGTAGTACCCCACCTCATAGAGCTGTTGTGGGAGTCAGTGAGAAAACACATATGAATATGCTTTTTGACACAGAAAGTCTTTTAACACTAGCTGCTGTAATTTTGCTTGTGTTTTCAACAAGTAGCATAAGTACCTCTATCAGGCATTCTTATGCTAGGAGTCTGTTAGTAAGGAAAGAAGAAAAAAATTCCCTGTTCTTTTAACATTTGTATTTTCGTGGGGGATTTTGAAATAGTTTGATCAATGGGACATTTAGTCAAAATAATCTCCAGAACTTAAACTCTTTACTACTTGACAATCACAGCAATAAGATAACAAAAAGCTAATGATCTTAGTAGGAACAAGTGAGGTCAATAGAACCCTTATTATAGAATGAGGATCCCAAGGACTGGGTAGGTTAAGCTCAGGCCCCTCTAGAAGACCTCATACCCTGGACTCACCTTACCCAAAACACAACTGAACTTTCCTGAGATTCACAGCTTCTAGTGATTAATGGACCAACCATTTTCAGACACTAGCAAGTAACTGAGTTGATCAATACTTTCAACTTTTCCCATCCAACATAGGTTGGTTTACTTCTGCAAGGCAAGGCAGGAATGTTCCTGATTGGCCGGACAGGTAAATAGTAGTCCGTAATGGGGTTGGCCGTTGCTCTTCTCCCAAATACCTGGCAAAACACTTGAGTACAGTTGTCTCACTAACCCTTCTGCTTGTCACACCTGGGCCATGGCCCAAGTTCAGGTGTCTCTTGATTGTTGCTATTAATGAGAGCGGCCTTAATTTTTTAAAACTACAGTAACAACAGGGAAAATTCCAAGACATTAGAGAGCAGTCATATTTTTACATGTCAGCCGCATAGAAACACAGGGGAATTAAACACTGCTATATTTTGTGGCCATAAGAATAGAATTCTTAGGAATAGTTCTTTGCATTCCAAGCCTTATCACCTAATTCCATAGATCAAGATACTCAGGCAAACTGCCACTTAAAATGTTACTTTGTTTAAAGGTTGTAATACAGGGCTGGAAAGATGGTTGAAGTTAAGGAATGCACTGCTCTTGCAGAGATCAGGAGTTTTGTCCCCAATACTCATGTTGGTGGGGCTCACAATCTCCTGTAACTCCAGCTCCAGGGGTATCTGATGCTTCTGGCCTCCCCAGCACCAGCACCCTCATGCACATACCCTTACACAGACACATACAGCTGGCTACACATAGGAAAAAAATAAAACAAATGCTTAAAAAATAAAAATAAAGCTTACAGTGTAAGCTTTTACTACATTTGTATGCTACTCCACGATGAAGCTAAAGAACGTTTATTTCCCTTTGCCTGGCATGTATTTCAAATTGCGTCAAAGGTCACAGGAATAAGCATGCATTGTGAAAAGGAAACAAAAAGAAGTCAAGATATCGAATGGGTGATTATTGAAGTTTACATCCTTCAATTTTTGTAATTCTGGAAGGAGGCCCAGATTGCTACATCACAGACCTGTGCTGCTCAGGAGCTCTCAAGAACCACAGTGCCCTAAAGGTGAATTCAAGTGTGACTCACAAATATTTATCCTCACATGAGTTAGTGTTATTACACTTGAAAAGAGTTCTTATTTTTTTCAACGGCAAAGAAATATTGATCAGACTCTCTTTATGAAGAGGGTTCTCTATGAAGAGGGTTCTCTATGAAGAGGTTGAAATTGTGGAGCTGGAGCTCACTTTTGCTGATAGTGTCCTGCAGGCTCTTCCAGGGTCTGCACTGAGGCTTGTGAACACATGCAACCTGGGGATGCTTTCTTTGTGTTGTGTAGTTTCCAACTTTCTTTCCCCTTTCTGTGAGGCGAGTATTGTTATTTTAATTATTTCACACCTGTCTGGAGCTTTCTAGCTGCAGGCTCTGAGGGGCTTGTTCTGACTCTGAGCTCACAGACTGTCTAGAGGGTTGTCAGAGATTTATTCATTCTGTTTCAAATTCTGACAAAAACTTTCCTGCCCTGTCTTTCACCTTCCAAGGGATATGGGGAATGTCTGGGGGTTCTGTGGGTGGTGATGGAAGCCTAAATTTCTTTCTTAAACTTAGTGAAGTGGTTTCAAATCAGACCAGGTTTCAGGTATAACAGCTAAGGATGGCCAAAAGGAAGGAAGGCACCAGCGAGCTGATGAGTGAACTAACCCAGAATTCCTGACTGTCTGTCTGTTACTGTTTCCACCGGAAGTCATGAATTCCCTGACATTTAAGCTGTTTGCAGTCAGCAGCATCTGGACACAGTGAGTAGATCCTTCTAATTGTTGGTCAGGGGAGACCATCCCCACCTATCTGTAAAGAACAGCTGATTGTTAACAGTTGTATTTTTCTTGGGAAAGTTTCCAGTACATCGATAAAATTTGCATTTTTGATTTAAGATTTTTTTTCTAAATAAAGAATGGGGAATAGAAGAAACTCATTGCTTCCAAGGTACTTTCCTCACTGTAGTTGAAAAGAGGTGACCTCAGGCTTAATATGAGTAAGATCCAAAGAGGAGGACATGTTGTGTTTTTCACTTACTCTGTCACTAGTAGGTAGGTGACTTGGTCTGTCTCCTATGGCCCCACAGTCAGTTGAATGTTCTGCTGTCAGTTTTGAGAGTCTCAACAACATGCGAACAAGAAATCCTATATTTTCATTTTGTACCAGGCCCCAGAAATCATATAGCAGGTCCTGTCTGCCCTTACTTGTCTTCCATTGGGCTCAGCAGTGAAAAGTCCGTATTGTAAGCATCTCCCTTTCTATAATTTCCCCATCAAAAGATTTTAAAAAGTGAGTGCTAAGTGTCCCTTTGGGTTACTTTCACTTTCTTTTCTTTTGTTTTTCACCCCCAAACTTAGCTACCAAAAATCCAGGACTCAAGGTATAATTTATGCAGATGGTCCAAGAGCATCCCTCATTGTGTCTGAGGCAGCCATCAGGCAAAGTGTTGAGCAGGCAGTGGGGAAGAGGATGCTCGCACTGAGAATGAAGTGTCTTCCCGGTGTAATTAGGCTTTTAGAAGGAATGGCTGGGCATGAGTGCTGCATTAGAATTCAAATTTCATCTAAATAATATTAAATCTCCTCCTTGGCATCCTGCTTATGCTAATCCTTTCAGGGCTTAATGATGTTTATCAGGACTTCCATTTCCTCTTCTTTAGAAATGCTCTTGGCTAATGAAGAAAGGTTGGCTTTATTCAGAAAGAGAGATTCATAAGCAGAATGTGCAATGGGCAATGATTCTGAACAGTGTAGGTCCAGCCTTTTGCTGTAGTGACTTCAGATTTCTCAGGGGCCAGGGATAACCTATGCTGGGCACAGCTGATTTAGGGCAGAAGTAAAAGCTCAGATAACAAAGCAAGGCAGTTTCGCAGGCTGCCAAGTCTGAATACAAATGGCTAAACGTTCTCATGTCATCGATGGTCATCTGCAAGGGTAAAAATGGATACACCGTGCCACATATATATAGACTGCACGGCACTGGGAGTAACGGAGGTGAAGTGTTGGCGGTGTTTCAGGGCTCTGAGCTGCTGGCTTTGACTGTGGTGGATGCTGATGATCCAGACAAATGTCCAGCATTCAGGAAGGGGCCCAGTTCATTGAAGGCTGCCTCTCACTCTGATCCAGGCCAGAGCCAAGCCAGTCCCAGACGACGGTTCCCATAGAATGTGGCTGAGCACAGGAAGGCTATCTGGGGACATTCTGGTCCTCTACAATTCCGAGCTGAGATTGCAAGGCCCTGTGCAGAGACGAGTCTTCTCAATTTTAATGAGGTGCTGTTGGCAAAAGAAAAAGCATTCACCTCCTGTTTCTCGCCTTCCTTCTTACTCCTGCCCTCCTTTCTTTTCAGGTGCGTCACTTTTTATTTGCCGTGAAGTCTCTAGGACAGCCTTTCTGATGGGCACGGTTTTCTTGGGTTCTTTGTTTCTTTGGTTTCCCCTGTTCCCTTCTTACTATCATTACCACACAGAGGCCCTGTCTGTGTGTGTGCCCGCTACGTGACAAGCAACGTGAGGACATGCAGAAGGCAGGACCACTGCAGGACTGAGGTGGGCAGCGGCTGTGGTGAAAGTCCTTTTGGACATCCTACAGATTCTTCCTTGTGGCTGATACAAGACAAGCATTGCCTTATTCAGTCTGATTACATGATAATCAGCATTTATGTCCTTGAAAGGAGTCTTTTTTCTCACAAAGCTTTGCCCACACATTTTTTTTTTTTTTCCATCATGGGATTCTTACAGATGGACACTGGAAATAAGCCAGTAAGTAGGGGCCCGCTGTCCTCTTTACTTTCTTTTCTCTATGTGATTTTGGTTTCAGGATGGGAGATGGAATCACAGCAGTGATGTGGGTGCTGCACATCTGTCAGAATCTACAAGGAGTGGGATGTTTTCTATTCCACACTAAAGACTGGAAGGTGAGTGGAACAGTGGCATATATGGTTCATTTATTCATGTCCAAACCGGTTCAAGAAAGAATATAGGGTGACTTATAATGGCCTATAGTTAATGATAAGGATACATTTAAAGATATTAGAAAGGAAAATTACAACAAAAAGAAAATTGAGGGTAACTGAAACTAGGAATGAGGTTGCAAGAAATTTGTACCAAAATGAAAGATTCATATATTTACTATAGGCAGAATATACATTTGGCTCTGAGTGTTCTACCAGCTAGAACAGAGAGGAAAACACACCCAGTTAAATGAACTTCATGTCTGTAATACGAAATACAAACTAGCCTTCCAAAAGAAACACAATGTTTTCAAGTACTGAAGCCAGGGGGGAAAAAAACCTTCTTCCTCCCATCCTCACAGAAAGGTTACTACATTATGTAACGACCAGTTTTATCAACAAAATCTTGACAGTGAATCCATCAATGGACTGTAAAGGGCCACTTAGTGCCCCTTAGTGTCTGGGGGCGGGGGACGGACAGGGTGAGGATTTTAACAGTGTAGCAGCTAAAAAATGAAAACTGAAGTTAGATTTACAAGCAAATGATGGCCTCACCACTGAGAGCAGAGTGTTAACACTGCCTGAAGTGGATGTGGAAGAAAATGAGGCAATGCAAACAGAACACTTAGTATATGTGTCTGAAACATGCCAGCAGTCAGGATGGTGTGGATGGGCTACATGTTCTTTAGGCATTCCTGAACAAGCATAGTTTTCTCTTATGAGAGCTTTTGCTTTTCTTTTTAGCATTAGCTGGGCATGCTTTTGGAACAAACTACTTTCTGTGCTTAGTAAAAGACAGAGCCAAGAGAACTGGCAGACTCAAAAGAAGTGGATCTGGTACAAACCTTCACAAAAATCGAGAAACCTTGAAAAATGTACCTGAATCAAAATCTATCTACTCTGCACGGAACAGAGTCCTGGATATGTAACAGCAAAGCAACCAAATAGAACTGAGGCCCAAAAGTCAAAAGGCATGGTCCTAGCACTTTACCATTAGAAAACAGGTCAAAATGGTATTTCTAAATATTCACTGGAGCCTACCTCCCTCATTTTTTACTTAGTAAAACACCTACAGGATATTAACTCTGATTATGTATGTACATTTCCACTAAGGAAAAAAAATGCATGTAAGTAACCAGATTCATTGACTTGCTCTACTGGGACGTTTCAAGTCAATACATGCGGGACAACCTATTTTTAAGTAGTTTGCTACCCTTATTTATGAGAAATAAGAGGCAAGAGATTAAAATAATTTGAAAACTCAAATGGCCGTCCACCTCAACAACCAAAACAGCAGTAGCCACCTGCCCTGTATAATGACATACAAGTACATAAAACATCTGTCTCTTCTCTAGCAGAAGGGTCAAGGAAGTAGTCAACCAAAGATGATTTTAAATGACACAGTCACACCTACTTTGCTCCACTGAAAACTGGCATTTAATTCATCAAGAGATTATCTTGATTTTAAGTATAGTCTCAGTTTTGATGTCTCTACAAGTGTCAGCAGCCAAGTTTTTTTGTCATTGTTTTTTTGAAACAGGGTCTCCCTGTAGCACCAGCTGGCCTGCAACTTGCTATGTAGACCAGACAGGACTCCATCTTGGAGAGATCTACCTGCCTCCAAGTGCTGGGGTTAAAGATGTTTGCCACCAGGCCTGGCTGTAATCAAGATCTTTGAGTCCATGTAGCTTCGTTCATTCCTGTCCACTGAGTACAAGGCCAAAGGTAAATAAACAAAAAAAGTGCAAACAAAAGGTTGGAACAGATTTTCCTACACTTTTAGAGAGTATGGTGAACGGACTGCTGTGGAACATTTGCCTGGAAATAGTCCTGCTACTCAAGGTGGCAATCTGTGAAGCAGAAACATGCTTTTATTTTGGACAGAGCACCTAAGAAATGCATGGATGGTAATTTGGAGGAGCTCCATAAATTACAGGATGGCTTTCATTCTGTGCTTAATCAGAGCCCATCATTAGGATGGTTCTTAAACAGTTCTGGAGGCAGAAAATGATTTCTGAATATTTTGCTTCCCATGAGCTTTGCATCAACTCTTAGATTAGGGGATATTCACGTGTGCATTTAAAAAAGATACAAATGAATTTGTCTTGGTCACCACGCTGCTTCAAAACATTAACACAGGGAGATGTAAGAACCACATAATATAACAGTGATAAAAGAATGTTATAGAGTGGGTTTGGGCATTGGGATAATAATTTAAAAGGCAATGTGGTACATAGCTTACTTCCCAGTTTGTAGGGAATGTAAATTCAACAGATACAAATTATAACATTAACTCTCTTTGATCACCCCATGGTGTCACTCAAGTAGCCAATGAGAGAACATTCTCATGACAGGGTGTAGCCAGGTCATGTTCAATCTTGATATGTAAAGGTCTCAGTGCTTTTTACTTTTGGTGAGGCGTGTCTTATAGTAGACAACCCTGGCTCAGTCTGGCATCTCCTCAACCCAAGCCCAGGTTTGAGATTTACCACCCTACCTGATCCAGACAGTTGCTACGTAGGTATCTCAGTGCTTGCTGGATGCTCTGAGGCAGGGGCTGTCCGGTTCTCTGGACGTGGACTATAAGAGGAACTCCAAAGACAGCCTTATCTTTGTAGTCAGGAACTTTCATCCTCTTCATGAACTTTGGAACAGACCTGGAATTCACAGAAACCAGGTCATGCAAGGCCCCTGGGGTACACTGTGCAGAGAAGCTGTGGAAGTAAGTGAGAGGGAAGCCAAGCTCTTGTTGGAATACCTCAGAGGCAAAGTGCAGAATTCAGCATTCTCTCCACCTTAATCACAGTCTATGGTGATCTATGTGTGGCCCTTGCCTATGTGTTATTTCTGTTAAACAGCATGATTCATGTTAGCAGAATGCATTTGTGGCTCTGTTTTCAAGCCAGGAGGACAACTTTCCAATTTGTTGTGATAGACATGCCTCTCAAATTTAAAACTTAAAACCTCCCAATAGAACAAAACAAAACGTACGTAAAACTTACACGAGGAAGAAGAAATCTGGTTGGGGTTGAAGAAAATGGAGGGGAGAGACGATGAATCACATTTTCTTGCCGATTCTTAGTTTTCTAGAACCCGTTCCATTTTTAAAAGGGAATTAATATACAAGTATATATTGACTTGACCATGTAATTTATAACCTTTTGAAACATTTTTATAAAAGCATCATTGATTTTTCTATGCAGATTATGTAACATTGGACTGTCACCAACATATTTTCTGTTTTTTCAAATTCACTCACTAATTCATCCACAATAGGAACTGTATGCAAGTTCCAAAGGAGACTTGCATCCATTCCTTAATTGCAAAGGTTTACTGAACAGTCTCATTTGTACTTGCCAATGAAAGCAAAAATGGACTTGAAGAATTAAATGCTCTTTGAGTGAATCAATGCTGTAAGGGAGTGAATTCTGCCAGGCCACAAGGTATAAGTGACAGATGTTTCTCTACAAACTGCCAGAATTATTTTATGGCAAGTTTATTTTTGATTCCTTTGTTCACAATTAATCATTCTTTACTCATCTCTCTTCTTTCTCTGAGTCTGACTCCCTTCCCTGGAAACCACCTGAGAACTACAAATAAAGCCATGTGTCCTGTGTGCTTTGTCAAGTCAGTAGCTGGGCTGCCCGGGGGGGACGCTGACAAGCAGAACTCTGCATGGTTTCCAGGAGAGGGTAGTGCAGCCAGTACTTGGATTTTCCAGACACCAGAATGTAAACACTGGTGGCTTTTGCAACGGCACACTTAGCTCTGAACAGCCAATCCATTGTGAACGTGCTACACACCAGGTCCAGCCGTGCTTGTTGGACAAGGAGTACTTCTCCATGACGGCGGTGAGACGGAGCAGTGAGAAGCGCTGGAGCAGGTTCAGCTGGCCTGCTGTCTGGTTGCTGATGTGCGGGGCTGCTGGGGATGGCTGAGGCTGGTGTGAGCGCTGGAAACTGTTCCATCGCAGTCGCCTACAGCAGAGGCGGGCAGAGAAGCTGGTCACTAAGTGGAGAGCTATTGGGAAGAACAGGCTATCCCTCATGCATAAATGGCTAATTAAGGAGTTTCTGAGCCAAGAAAATCAGAAAACAAATGGAATAATGTCACAGATCTGCAGAACCAACACGGGAAATTATTCTTTTCAAGTTGTACACATCTGGAAAAAAGTCACATTGTGGGATTTAAATAAGGGATGTCATAGATTTTGTTAATTTGTTACTTTATTTCAAAATTCACTTCCAAGGTGTTTAGAGTAGCTGAGACAGCTGTGTGTGTGTATATGTGTATGTGTGTGTGTGTGTGTGTGTGTGTGTGTAAGAGAAAGTGTCAGAGAGAGAAAGTAAAAATGAAAAAGAGAGAGAAGAGAGATGGAGTGACAGTGAGACAAAGAACGATGGAGACATAAAAGGAGAGCTGTTAACAGAGAAAATGAGATAGAGAGAGACACAGAGAGAGAGAGAATGAATAGGGAATGCTAGGGGAAGCCTCAAGCATTTGGGGCTGTAGACTATTCTCCTGCTTTCTATGCTCTCCACTGTCATTTGTGCTTGAGTTGGAGCCTGGAAGTGACAGGCATAGATAACAACATAGCAGTGAGCCCTGAGATACATCACTACCTCACTCAAAAATCCAGCAGCACTCCAAGCTGATTACACGAGTCAGGTTCTTTCAGCCAGTGTTCTAGGGTGCTTCTGTAAATCAGCTTTTGTGTGGTGCATAATCAGTAACTTAAAGCAAAAAACAGGCATGAAGTACACACCTTAGATCTCATGGGATTAAAAAGAAATCTGCACAGGGACCGAGCTGCTGTGATCTGTGATTCCCATCTACAGTGCCTGGTATAGAGCTTTGCACATAAGCTCAAGATTTTTCTTGAACAAAACTGAGTTTGAAGTAAAGGACAGAGAAGTGAGTGTGTGTGTTGACATGGATTCAATCAATCACTATGTCTATAGGAAGGAAAAACTTCTGTTCAAGTGATTCCTAACTACATCTATCACTTAGAACAGTGCCAGGCATTGGATAAGCGGTTTTTCCATGTCTGTTAAAGAAATTAACAAAACACAGCCACTATGACATAGATGAACCAGGGGCTGGAGAGACGGCTCAGTGGTTAAGAACACTGGCACATGGCAGCTAACAACTGTCCATAACTCTAGTTCCAGGGAATCCGACAGCCTCTTCTGTCCCCTGTGGGCACTGCATGACATGGGTGCACTTACCTATATGCAGGCAATACATGCATACACGTAAAATAAAAACAATAAATAAAACATTAAAAAAATAGATGAATCATCAACTCACAAAAGCATGTAGCCTACCTGTTTGGCCTGGTCAGAGAGGCCCCCACACCAGAATCCCTTCTTTCTCTGACCCCAGTTGCCTCCGATTCAGTCAGAGAGGTCCCATCTCTTTCCACATCACTGGGTGTTGTCCGACCTTCCGAGACAGAGTTGCCTTCAAAATCTAAAGTGATCTGATTGGGAGATGGGAAGGAGGCTAAGCCAGGTTCCCCCACCAATGCATCGGGACTTTGCAGTTCTGGTAAGATATGCTTTGACCAGTCATCCACTACCTCTTGGATCCCATTAACATGCTGTAGGATGTCATCCAGCTCGGGGAGGAGGTCATCCTCTAAGTCCAACAGATCTCCTGTGCTGGCATACAGATGGGAGTCGGGGACATTGTCATAGATACTGACTCGGCTGGCTCTGTGGCAGGACCCCACCAGCCTGGGCTCCCTCATGCCGGGGCCCCGCTGTCTGCCCAGGGAGATGCTCCCAGTCCTCCAGTTAACCCCATTGCTATTATCTGTAGGTGAGAGGCTTTCAATAGAAAGTGCCTTGGGGAACGTTCCTGGTTTGTGATCCTTGGGAATATGTACCAGCAAGTTCTCTTGGGAGTGAAACCCATGGGTGCGGTTTTGATCCTTTGTATCCCGTTGTGCTGTCCCTCCCAGCACATCCAGGTCCTCCAAGTACATGCCCTCGCGCTTGTTGGCCTCATGGTGGCATTTCCGTTCCTTCATGCATGGCGTGCTCACCCTGCTGCTGTTCTCTGAGGGGCTGCTCTCACCACTGGACTTACTGGAGCAAGGAGGCCCTTTCCTACAAGCAGCTGGGGGTGAGTTCTGCAGATCTCCATTGGGTATTTGAATGCACTGCATGGCCTTAAAGGAATCTGGCTCTTGCTGCAACACAGGCCCACTGATCACCAGGCCACCTGTCCTCCCTGGCCCCTTATGCCTCCCATGTGCTCCTTTAGCTCGTAGAGTTTCCATGCGTTTTAAAAAAGACTTGGCCCTGGCCCTGGTGGGTTTCTCATTCTTGGGGTGGAAGGAGTAGCTAAGAATGTCTCGGGGAGACTGTGGGAGGCTGCTGCTGCCCAGGGTGCCCTCCAGTAGAAGTGTGTTGTCAGCACAGTGCTGTCCTGACTGGCTGCGGCTGTCGCTGCCTCCGCTGCTTTCGCTGTGAATGGAGCAGACCTCGGGTTCGCTCAGGTCTGTGAGGACACTCTCACTGCTGGCCGTGTTTCTCATCCTAGGGCCTCCTGGGGACCCGTTTCTGTCTCCCCCTGGGAACAGTGTGTGCAGGTCATCCACACGAGACCACCTGCGGCTGGTTCTTTGGAAAGTCCATTTGTTGCTGATGCAAAGATCTTCCTCATCTGAGTCGTCACCCTGCAAAACAAGGAAGATGCTCATGTACTTGAAGCATGGATGCTTGGTGCTCCCACCTTGTTTCCTCTGTCCTATTCACACTGGGATTCTTGAATACCCCAGCCTCTACCACCTCTCACTGTCCTGTACACTGTGCTTCCCCCCTGTGACCAGAGGACCTCCTTCATTTACCAAGCTTTCTTCCTTTTATGGACTCTTTTTTTAATTCTTTCTTTTCTCTCTAAGAGTTAAAAAGAGTGTGTAATTATCATCTGGACTAGACAGTAGAAACACTGGCAGTCTCCTTTTACAAACTCGACCCTGCTGATAAAGGGCACTTCTTTCCCAAACACCTCTTAATTGAGATCCAGAACCATTTTTACCAGCTTCCCTTTTCTTAACCTCAGCCTCAGAGCTTGTATTTCTTACCTTAGCGCCCCAAACTTGATTCCTGTCATACATTTCCCACATAAGTTAACAGCAAAATCATCTGCTGAGTTCTGAAGAGTAGATAAGTTGGGAGCTAATCTAGAGATCACATTTGAAGACAGTTTAACCCAGTCGCTCTGCTTGACCAGGCTTCTTGTGTTTTATGAACTTGAATCAGAATGCCTTTGGCCATACACAAACCTCCCAGGTGCTGTGGTTGGTCCCCAAGGCTCTGCAACATCTTACATTCTGCATGTCACACACTGACCTCACCTGTCTGGTTTTTGCATGAATTTGTAGCCTGTGACACATAAGAGTCTGTGTTCCTTGTGGCCAAATATCCTTCTGCTTATCTCTGCATTATGCCTTGGGCCCAGAAATTATTTACTCCCCCAAATGGGCTGAAACGTCAGCTCCTGCTCCCTCCTTTCCATGCCTAGCAGTAAGACCCTGTGTGGAAATGATTTTCAAATTTGTTCCCTTGTTTGCATCTTCCTGCTCACTTCCTTATTCTAGGCCCTCAGCATCTCTCCCCGGATGTATTACAGCCAAAACCTGGCTAGAATTCTGATCTCTAGAATGTTCCTCACCTAATCAGATTCCCACCATGCGATCCAAATACAATCATATACTTTCTCAGATCAGAAGGCTTTGGCTGGAGTGATTTCAGTCTCAGTTGTTCAAGGGAAGGTCAGCAGGAGCAGGGCCTGGGGATTTTCCTTTTATTCCAACTTATATCCTCCCTAATACAACACCCATGCTAATCACTTAACTTCCATCATTTTTGTTGTTACTTGAACTTATCTTCCTTTGGTATATCTGGTTCTAAGACCTGGTCCAGAGTGATATTAGTACCAACTAAGAGATATGCAACTCTGTACAAATCCCTTACCTTTTCTACAGTAAATTTTCTTTACATATAAAATTAGGTTAAAAGTTGGCTCTGACTCATAGGTTTGCTAATGGAAATAAATAAGGGTGTATATTTAGTAGTCCCTTACTGTGAAATATTTGTTCTTTTCAATGTTTATTTGTTTGCCTATTTTACATATTTAGCATCCTCCTTAGCAACCCTAACCTTACAATATATTGTTTTCAAGGCAAAATAAACAGATGCACAGTAAATAATTGTTGGAACCTTCTCATGGAAGGTTTATTCTTTCAAAACCTACGTTCTATCTAAGTTAAACTAAATTCGAACATTCAAGTATAAAGTGGAAGAAACTACAAAGTCAGGGTACTTACAAAACTTCTATGGCTTTGACATTACAGTAGGAGGAATTTAGCTTTGATTTTTAAAAACAGAAAGTATTGTATAAAGTTTTGTTGAGATAACTTGAAAAATTAAAATTGTATACATTGACCTAGGATCATTGAAAGTGGACATTCTCTGTGATACTGTCTAGTTCTTTTTGTGATTCTTAACATAAAAAACAACTTCTGAGAGCTGTTTATATACAGGGCACCATGAGAGCTAAGCACTGAGCTTACTGGACACCCATATCATATTTTAGGAAGCTTGTGAGGTGACATAAAGCAAGTCTTCTAAAAAAACTCTTTCAGCAAACAGTTTTAGAGAAGGCAAAGGAAGGATCCACAACTTTTAAGAAAACATAGATGTTTAAAAATAGAAACTATAATATTTAATGTTGATTCCAACTACTCTTTCTATTCTACTACTAACACTAGAAAACCACATATAAGTTGGATAAGGACTCCTTTATTTAGGTTGAGAAAATATGCCAAGCTGGGCTCTGTGGACTCAAGACAGAATGCTGGTCCTGTCTGTTTGGCTCTAAGCACTTATTACATTGGCTTTGGCCAACAGAGAAGATGCTTACTACCCAACCAAAACATTTTACAAAATGGTAAACTCCTTGAGGAGAAAAACAGTTCAAAGAAATTCTGCAGTTAATTAGGTTTTTCCAATCAAAGTAAGGAAACAAAAACTAAAGCAATACAAAAATAAAAACAAAGCAAAGCAAAATGAAAAATACACCCTTTTTTCTTTGGCACTTTGCAAAAAATTATCATAGTATATACCCAGGCAAAAGAATTCTGTATCTTTCAAATTATTTATAGAGACACATAATAATGTGATAAGGCAGGCACCATCTTGACCATAGCTATACCATGTTGAAATCTAGGCTGAATCTAGTCTCTGAGACTAAAAGGCAGTTGGCCCATGGTGTGGGAACAGGAAGGTGCAGCTCAGCTGCACCTAGGTTTGAGTTTGAGAACACGTCAATATGCTCCTGGTTGACTTGTGAACAGGTCAGCATCTCCCTGGTTGCTCCTGCTAACTGCAGATTTATGGCTTCTGTACTCTACGCTTGGCTTGCTTTTGCAGACTAGTAATTGTTAGAGGGGCTTCTCCCCCCGCCCCCCGCAACCTGTGGAAATTCTTGGAAACTTAAACTTTTCAGCCCAGATGTTGTTTTTCTGTATCAGGGCTTACCCTAAGAACAGCTAGGCACTGCACTTGGATTCAAATGCCCTGTGCAGTCACCAGCAAGCTAATAAATGCCTTTCTTTTGGCATTATTTTGTGTCTGGGTGGTCTTCTTTGGTGAAATACCTCACAACAATAAGACATATATTTCCCATCAAAACATAGGGGATGTAACCATACTATACTAACACACAAAAAAAGTTATAATAATTATTCTTGTTTGTTTGTTGTTTGTCTAGAGTGTCCCAAATCCAAACACTGAATTCTAAAATGCTTCAAAATTTTTAAAAAATTTGAGTACTGAGATGATGCCATAGATAAAAAAATTTTACCTGGCCACATGTGATGGGGTTGTAGTAAAAATATACATGCACACCGATGTATAAATGTATAAATTACCTTAAGGTTATGTGTATCAGATGCAAATGAAATGTAAATGAATTTCATGCTTAGACTTTGGTCTGACACACAAGTTATCATGTTCTATGTATATGCAAGTATCAATGTTCTAGAAATATCTAAATATGAATCACTGCTGGTCCCAAACATTTTGGATAAGGAATATTCAATCTGTAGTCTCATTTAGTCTGTTCATCTCTAAAAAAAATGTTGCTTGCAATCCCTTAAATTTATTCAGCAATGAACCATGTGGTCAAAATCTGCAGTATGCAAAGTAAACATTGTACTAGAGTGCAAGTTTCTTTCCCATGCTTGGGACTAAGTGAAGAGTCAGACACACACAGGCTCCCCAGTAGCATTTGTAGCATACTGTTTAAGAGATTATCAGATTTCATTGTTTGGCCATTTTTTTTAGGTTAGAAACAGTCTGTGTTTATATAGAAATGTGAAATGTAGATTTATAGAGTTGATCATGTTTATGGAGAAGAAGATACTCCAAACTAACTTTATTCTCCCATATGAATGGTCTAGTATACTATGAAACTATGACAGAGACAGAACATCAGAATTTCAAAAGGCTGTCTTGCCTGGACGTGGTGGTGCACATTTTTAATCCCAGGCAGAGGAGGCAGAGGCTGGCAGCCTGGTCTACATAGTGAGTTCCAGGCCAGCTGGGGCTACAGGGAGACCCTGTCTCAAAAAGACCAAAAAAAAAAAAAAAAAAAAAAAAAAAAAAATGGCTGTCATGATACTGTTGTGAATAGGGTGGCTGACAGTGCTGGATGCTACCAAGGTTTCGTTAGTAAGTGGAAATGGGTAACTTCATCAAAGTGATCAAAAGACTGAAAGTAACTGAGGGGTAGGGGGAGCTTTACAGGCAAGTCTCAAAAAGTCATGTCTATTTTAAACAAAACGTCAGTGAATAGGAATAACCCATGTTTTTAAAGTATAAAGATGGTATAAGGGCACACCCTGAAGGATATTGAGCTAGGTATCCTCTTTGAAACTTGGTTTTCTCAGTCATAAGATGAAAGATAACAAAATACATGTCTAACATAGTTCATCAACAGAACTAAATGAAATTATATGTGCAAAGGCCATCAAAACTTCAAAGTGATGGATAAAACTAGTTATGATTGTTAGAGATATTGGTTGAGCACTACTAATCCCTAAATCCAAAGTCTAAGATTCTCCAAGTGTGAAACTGTTTGACGGTTTACATGATACTACGAGTTGAAAACTGTATACCACAAAACCTCGCTTCAACATGTGCATACAAGCAATACTACATATATAGTAGATTGTATATATGTAACAATAATTAAAGAAGAGGTCACAAAATTGAGAAATAGGGGGATGTATGAGAAAGGGGGTAAGAAGGGCTAGAAATGATGCAAATGTAATACTTAAGCAAGAAATTCTTAAATTTTTTTAACAACTTAAGAAAGCATTGCTTCATATACAAAGTATAAAATATTGCTTAAAATGGTAAGCTCTGTATACAAGGTATATATGAAAATAAACGGATTTTTTTTGTTGTTAGATTTAGGTCTTGTGCCCAAGATGTCTCATTTTGTACACGCAGCTTAAAAAAAAATCTGAAAAAAAATCATATCAGAACAGTTTTCTTCTATAGCATTTTGGATAAGGAATAGTGAGCCAATATTAAAATGTATAAAGATCTTGACGGGACTGGAGAGTTGGCTCGGCAGCTAAGAGCACTGGTTGTTCCTGCAAAGGAC